TCGGCTTAAACATCTGCCGCAAACCTGCAATCACAAAAATTCTTAGGCTTAAACTATCATTTGAAAAAAGTACTGAATTCATGAGATTGATTTAAACGTTTGCCATTAACCTTCGGTCACCAAAAAGAGTAGTGGCTTTAAGAGATTGGTTTAAACGTCTGCGCGAATCTTTGGTTGTCGCAATTCTTACTCCTAAGAAATCAATTTAAAAAAATACTGGCTTCATGAGATTGATAAGCCCTCGACTGCCGAAGTGCTTAACTTCGGCCTCTTAAGAATTCGGCCTCAATGATATTTTAATACTATATGATATCATATTAGTTAAAATTTCTATTTTTCAAGAGATTCAATTCAATAAAAAAAAATGTTTAGCATTATGTGAATTGAATCAGATCGTTAGAGAGATGTCATTATCAGATCATTAGAGAGATATGCACTGATTTTATAGAGAATTTAAATTCTCTTATTCTAAATTTTCAGTAAAATTAAATCTTTTTTCGCTTCAATCTCTGATCATTTAAAAATGATTACACGGAGAAATATAACAGATACCCCCATAAAAAATAATTATTTGTGATATTTAAAGTTAACCCAAGGTTAAGAACTATTGTTCCAGAACTAACTTTAAAAAAAAATAAACGTCAATCATTGCGGATAAGATTTGAAAGATGTGATAAGTGAGGAGCAAATCAAAATAAAGTACACTTAGTGGTGTTAAGGGTTGTTAAGTTTTGACCTCGTGTATTATTTTGTTGAATAATTATATCACTTTACTCAATTTGGAACCATATTCTTGCGAATCGAAGGATTATTCTGTGCTTTCTTTGATGTTTGTCAGTATGGCAACTTCATTCATGTAGTCATAGAACACGATATAGTCGATTCTGCATTACTTTAATAGAGCAATATAATTTTATTGATTTTTCTTTGAATTTTAATAAAGATTATCCAAAAGAAATTTGTTTTAGAAATATCAATATATGATAAAAATACCGTGTTCTTGTGATGGAATATTTTATTATACCATAAACAATGGCGCTTATTTGATACATTGTTTCAAAAATATAAAATATTATTTATTGCTGTAAAAATTTTGAAGCACATCTTATGTATATTGGAAGAACGAAATGAAGCCAGCGAGGCCGCTGGATGTTAGTTCACTAAACTATATCGACTTCGTAATAAGGCTCGAATAGTTCGTAGTTTATTCGCATCGGGTAATCATCGTCAACACGTAGAGGGCGAAAGATCTTACGAAGAATTTTTTTTCTCGAATAGTCGCAATGCTGCTTCATCATACTGTGATAACGTCCATGCTCCTACGCCATACCAAAGCACAGGCAGGATAAGCGAACAGTAGATTGTAAATTAAATTTATCAAGAGAAAAAGAGAGAGAGCTCTACATTCGAATAGTCTATTAAACCGATAGTAGCACCTATTTTCAAAGGTCATACTGTCTCTGTTCTCCAGTGGTCATTTGTTATTGTTTATTATAAATAAATAACGAAGAAAGCTGAAAAGCTACAAATTTGTGTTATGAATTTCCTGCAACGAATTTAGTGTTATGCTTTGTTCAGACACTGCCTCATTAAACGAATATATTCCTTTAATCTTCATTAACAATAAATCATAAGTTTGTTTCCATACAAAAGTTTATTTAATAAGAAAAAAGAAGAGAAATGACGAATGATAATATTTATCTAAAATGTTTATATATATATAAAGGTCGATTTTGATGCGACTTTGCTAGAAAAGACACAAATGAGAGACAGGAGACTGACAAGAGAAGGACAATAAAGAACCAAGAAAAAAACTAAAGAGAGACAAGATCAACAAAACTGAATAGAAATGAATATTTTTTTAAATTTATTATTGCAGATCTAAAGCAACACGAAATTTAGGTTTAGATTGCAAAATAAAAACATACACTTCAAAACCAAATACCTAACCTTTACGCTCTTCCTTAGCAAATGAAATGAAACAACACTGCTTATTTAATTTCGCTATTAATTATCTTAACAACTGCCGGTCACATCAAAATTCAATCGGATTTGCTTTACATGATTATGGCGACCATTGGTCACTTCGGACTGAAATTAAATGTGTAATGCTGCCTCTGAGCTATTTTGGGTACTTACGCTTCCAAATCTTATTGCAATGTCCCTTCTTTCATACTAAAATATTTGATTATCCACAGTTGCAGAGCACCTTCTAAAGCTAATATAAGTCGCCATTCACATTAACATTGATGCCGAGACTTTTACTGTTACGACTGAAGTCAATCAACAAATGATGTTATTATATTCAAAAGCTGCCCTGTAAACAAATACATAAAATAATGACAAGATACTGTACAATCGTATTTTCCAGTTAATATGGGGTAATTATGTGTAGTAAGATAGAAGTATGAGAGACGAAGGGAGATTGAATCTAACTTGTGGGAAAGATTTTTCACCTGGACTTTACTCAATAAAGTTGGACTTAAATTGGACTTAAATTTGTGTACGCCTTTAAGCATAATTACAGATTAGCGACTTGATAGAAAGTAAAGCTGCATTTAGTGCACACAATAGAGATAAACTTATTTATTCATAACAAAAACTGAGGAGAATATATTCTGAAATGACAATAAAAACGTTCTTCATTTCCAGAAATAAGTGAAAGCCTCTTGAAATCAATGCTGTTGAACCAATGCTGTAAATTAATGATACGAAGAAACGAAATGTTGTATGTGATGTGGCATCGCTAGTCGATATGTATGCTCTGGAACCGTAACCAACAAAAATATTTAGATTAGAGGGTGGAAATATTTAAAACACAAAGATGTAACAACTCATTAAGCTTTCATCAACTTACTGCAGATACCATTTCATACTTTTTTTCGACCATATAGTGATTTCTATACTCAATAGAAACAAACCTGTTACGTTTTTCAAAATAGATTATATTTGAAATATAGTGACTCATGGCTATATCACGCATTTAAGTTAGCCATATTGCATATTCGAAATAATTTAGTAGAAAATTTTATATTGGTTCATTTAAACTTATTTTTTGATGTAAACTTGTAATTTTTCTAATAGTTGTAGTTCAAATGGACCGTTCTGTGTATCACATATATCATAGTATTTTTTGTACTATAAAAATATTTCCATAAAAACTTCAAGTTATGTTGATTCTTAAAATTAGTTATTCTGTTATTAGTCCCTACGACATATTATTGGAACTGCTTTATAGTTACATGCGAATTATTTAGGTTTGTGTGCACAATACTACTAAACTACTGCTTTAAATATTTCCGGATCGAATTGCCATATATTACTAACAGCCCTTTAATATATCAGACAGGAAGTGAAATAAGCATACGGTATTGTGAAAACTTCTGTAATCATATATAAATATCTAATTTCAAATTAAATTTATCTTATAGACAAATCAATATGCCACCTTACCTCTCTAAGCTCTTTATACAAATTCCTCTATTTAAACCATTGTCGGATTTGGCGACTGGGAAAACTATGGAACAGGTAAATCCTATAATAAATGAACTAGAATATGCGTGAGTATAACAGGTTAATTGCTCTGCAGTATTTTTTGATGTGAAGTTAGTTTTCGACATTTATTGCCTCCAAACAATGTTCCATAGCTACAATCCTATCCTAATCCTACTGAGTATTTCGGTGTAGAGCTCAAATCATATAGCTTTCTAAATACAATCCAAATAATTACAAATACAGTTGAAATTAAAACAGTTTCAGTATAAAGCATAAATTAAATATCTCTCTGAGTTCGCTAATAAATGCTGGCGTTACATAAGATTATATCTTCAGCTTCGTTTTTATGTTTTATATATATCACTTATTCCTACGATCCAGCAGTTTGAAGAAATTACAAAAACTTTCAAAACTTTTTAAACAGTCTAAAACAAAAGATCACTTATTTTCCAAAAAAAAGAAAATGACAAACCTAATAGCTTATTGAAATTAATGTATTTAAATTTCGTCATGTCACTTTTACTCTCAATAAAAGCACCTGCTAAATAGCACACCGATGACTCAAGCAAATGATGTTTATACCCAGATATTTATAGGAAAAAAACTAAGACTACCATCGGTTACCGTGATAAATGCTATCCGGACTCTGCGCCATCGAGTCAAATTGTAGAGAATTGGTTTGCAAACTTTAAATGTAGCCGTATAAGCATTGCGTTTCGCATTGGTCACCTAAAAAAGATGATGACTCCAAAAAACATCAAAAATATCTACAAAATCTTTTCGGGAATATGTGAAACGAACCTGCAGAAAATAGCTGACACCTTAAAGATTTCATAGAAAAGGTTTCAGCTTTATTTTGCATAAACATTTGTCTATGAGGCAGCTCTTTTCTATGGCTCTCATCCATAAGTGTCAGCTAAAGTAGAGCTTAGAAAATGTCTGTATTCAAAAAGATATTAAAAACCCTTTCCTATTTGTAGTTGCGGCTGAGTGACCCTAACAGAATTTCAAAACTGCACATTAAACAATATCCTTTGGCTGTGTGCTCAGCTGCTAGCATATTTCGATTCGGTACACAAAGTTGAATGTGAAACTCCTTCGTACATTGGGCAATGACGAGCCGAGCGCAAACGAACAAGCAACACATAACAGAACGCAGCATTGCGGAGTAAACAAGTTTTTGCCACAGTCAAAGTGAATTTTGATTTGTGTTAAGATTGTTCAGTTTGCGAAGCGCTGTGAAACAAAACGGACGTAAAAGCGGAAGAAATAAGGCACAAAGTCTTTGTGTGTGTTGGTGTTAACAAAATTGCTAAACAAATACTAAAACCAGAACAGTAAACCAACGTTAGACATTATCAAATAGTGTAGCATACTTCTAGGCAGACACAATTTTTTAAATAAAGTTTAAAAACAATAAATAAAACTAAAGAAATTACAAATTAATTACAAAAATTAATTAATAATAAAAAATTAAATTATCACAATAAAATTAATTTAAAAGTTGATCAAATTCGAAAATTGTATTTTGAAGCGAGGCAAAATGTCTTGGCTCCAACGTTTCAATAATTTATGCAGCTTTTCTAGCTTACTGATCGCAACGCTGATATTTCTGCAGTGCATTTGTAACGGTTAGTGGAGTTTAAAAATAAATTGCTTTGATAAAAGGATTTTATTTATACTTTTAAAAAATATATTCATGCATTTATTCTGTGTATTCTGTGTGTAAATTATAATAAATATTAAATTTATTTAGTTGACAATTTTAAAATTTCAAAAAGCATACAAAGCACATTTTCTTTAATATTTTGTGAATGTTTGTAAGAACACTTCTGTTTTAATGCATTGTGCGTGTTTGACTATATTATATTATTATTTATATTTATTTGTTAATGACATAAGTGTTTATATATGTTAATATGTTTTTAGTCCCTCAGTTTTTAAAAATTGTCAGTACTTCACACTTATTGTTTGTTATTATTGACTTACACTACTACTTTATTACCTTTACCATTTCATTCTTACAATCTTATTCTTTTCCATATCATCATGTCGTCAATAATGTACGCCTACAATAAACTGTGATTTAAAAACCTCATAAAAACTTTTACATTACTTCGGATTACGTGCTACGTTGGCTGCTCTTGATGCGATGCTCACACTTTGTGGTGCTTATCTACTTCAAAAACGCCAACTTCTACTTTAATGTCAATAAATAATATTGCATAAATGCAGGCGCAGCCATAAGATGCTTTGTCTGCGATTCCAGCGTTAATCCCAGCTGTGCTGACTTAAAATCAAATTCCACCATGGTTGCCGAGGTAAGTCCTTCTATTCGCTTTTATATTTAATTTTAAAGAGTATCTTTACAATAACTATATTATAAAATATTTAAAAAAAAATTCGCATAATATAAAAATATTAATAAAAGAAAAATAAAGCATATAATAAATTTTAATATCAAAATAAAAGCTAATGAAAGCTAATATATTTAAAGAGAAGTGCATTCGTTTATGCATTTTTCACATGAATATAAACCGAATGTAATTATTGCAAATTTCATTGAAAGCCTAATTCCGGAGAAAAATCTGCGTACAAAATTCTCATGTAAAGGCTGCTGCTATTTTCAATATGCACATATTTACATAAGCCAACCACATATTTTCATGCTTTGCAACAGTTCTTTGAGGAATGCTGTATGCTTTATGCTTTGCTACTAGTAGAAATTAATTTGAAAAAATTTCTCAGAAACATTTGTTTGTCCATGGTACTTAGCAAAGTATATTTCCATGAGTTTCTGCGTACTTTAACTAAATAAGAAATTTGTTCCATTCAACAAATGACTTAATCTGTTTAATTTCTTTGTGGCATTTAATAATGCCTGAGGATTGCATATAATATGAAAACACTGCAACCATGTACAACATAAACACAAGTGGCTTAAAATTATTACGAATTAAAGACATTTTAGTGAATTTGATTTTTACTAAAGCTAAAGGCACTTAAGCATTGCAAACACTAAAGCACTTGATTAAATGCATTTTGAGTTTAATTTCTCATAAAAGCAGATTTACATTAAAACTTCGTTAACTTTATTTACATTAAGATTGCATTAAAAATTAAGCAATTGAAGGATTAACAGTTAATTAATTTAAAAGTGTTTTAAGAACTTTTAAAAACTACTTCTCTTAGATACGTTTAAGTAAAAAAAGATCAGTGTTAAAGAAATTACAAAAACTGTTGCCTAGTTTTAGGAAAAATATAGTTATTAATGAATTGCATAGATAGATCGGAAAAGTAAAGTGATCATTCCAGTAAGATACATTAAAGCTTCTAATACTTTGTTTTACTAGTTTGTCAGTATAAACTAAAGCATCATCAACTTGATTGAACTTTTTGAGCTTCACTATGAACGTTTTTCTCTTCCTCTTTCTCCTCTTTTCCTCTTTTTAAGAGATCCAATCTCATCTTATTTTATTAAAAACTTCTTTTCTAAGGAATACAACCAATTCTAATAAATCCTTATCTGACAGGAAATTGGTATAAGGTCCTGAATTCATCATAATTTTAAAACTAATTTCTTCAAAACTTTTATAACTTAAAAATTAAAATATCATAGCAAGCTATTGAAAACCATAAAAAAATAAAATATTATTTGGCAGCTGAAATATAAGCAAAATTTGTTAATATTTCAACCACCAAACCAAACCAAGGCTAGATTTTAATTGTTATCTGGGCTTCGACTGCGTACGCTTGATACTTAATGCTTTTAACAAATCTTTCGATTTCAGTACAAATTGAGCAACAAGTCCAGAGATTAAGATTATTTAACAAACAAAAACTATTTCAGCATTTTTGTACATGTTTGTTTTTCTTTAAAATTCTGTTCTAATAGTTAATTAGTTAGTTATGGTGGAGGGAGGAAGATTGCTCCTCAATTAGCTAAAAAGCCGTTTTGAATCCACAAAAACCTCGTAATAGTGGGTAGTAGAGAAAATACCTAACTAGAACCAGCCAGAGGCATCTATAAAGGCAAGAATCTGACTAATGCTAATGCTGGAGATATCGCCGAGTGAATTGAAGAAGCGAGCCTCTAGAAACTTAAACCTAGTTCTGACCAGGCCTGGGCAAAGGCACATCAAGAGTTCTGGACTCATTTCTTCGAAAGCTGGTAGACACTCACTGCAAGAGGTACCATCAATGCATTGATAAATTCCTTAAATTTTTAACTAATTTGGTTGACATATGTTACAGACTGCTGATAAGGCTTTAATAGCTGCCTGACTGTTAGTTTTCGTGCAAGCCCATATTTAAAACAAGAACACACGGCCTAAGGATGTCGAACATTTCTGCGTGAATAATTTCTGTTTTAATACTTGTCGGCATATTTGATGGAAGCTCATATCTAATTATGTTTGCAGTTTTAATAGCTGCTTTGATAGCTGCCTGACTGTTAGTTAGAATGTAGACCTCCTTTCCGTGCAAGCCCATATTCAAAGCGAGAACACACGCCCTAAGGATGGCGAAAATTTCTGCCTGAATAATTTCTGTTCTAATATTTGTCGACATATTTGATGGAAGCGCATAGATATTATGTTTGCACTTTTCACATTCCGCTGATATACGTTGCAGTTTGATATGAAAATGTCACACTAACATTCGTCCACGAAATACTGTATTTATATTTATGACCGCTTGACTATAAAAACCTATTTTAGCTAAACAGGATGATAAAACCTTTGATTTGAATTATTATGTATAAGTTTATTGAGTAGATACAGTAGTAACATATGTAGTAAGGAAAAAACTTCTCAATGCATTTTTATAAATATTTCTCTTCATTTTTGATATGTGAAATTATTTTCACTTTTACTCAATAGTGTCTGTGACCATGATCTCCTCTAATAACAGCTCCGCTGAATTTTGATAATAAGTTATTCAGATGAAGCCCAGCATATTTTTTAATGGAATATATATTGCATTTGTTTTGAGAGAGAGTGCAATCTTTTTGGTTCACTCTGTCTTTGATATACTTTTGCATACTCTCGACTCTCAACTCTTTGTATATGTCTTAATATCAGCACTCGTCTCAATATAATATTGTAATCAAAAGCTAAGTTGAAGCTGTTCAAAACTTTTAAAATTTTTGAAAATTGAACATTTTTTTTCCAAAGAAATTATTTCTCTCCAAGTACAACACACTTATGTTAACCTTTTTTTTTAGTCTTGAAAATAATTTGTTAACCCATTCTTTGAAATGGCTTTTAAAGAGTTTATTGTTTCCTTACTCATGTAACTACGGTATCTCTAATCTCTAGTGATCGTTTAAACTTATGGAATAACCAGATCTTATAAGATGCTAAGTCAGTCAAATACAACGGTTTCGGAATGATGAATTTTTATGATATTGTAAAACTAATGCAGTTTCAGATAGTATATAGTGCGATCTTCTCAAACTTGGTTTAGCATTAGCACTGAACACGCTTTTTTAAACGGTTATTTCTGGATGGTCTGCTTAGATCTGAATCTTCTTTCCTTTTCTGTCAAAGGCAGTTTTTTCTTTAAATTAAACTTTTGAAAAAAAACCGTTCCAAGATATGTTTCGGGAAATTCTGCGTTTTAACAGAAAACTAATAGTATTTGGTAAATAATGTCAAAACTATAAATGTTTTTCTATTTATTTGCAACAAGACACGAAATTCTAATCTCTTAACATAAACATTTTTTCACAACTCTTTAAGACCTCGATTTTTGAATTTAAACCCATTAATCCTAAGAGATCCACTTAGGCCTATAGGTCCATTATGTTACCGTATATTTAAAAACTCAGAGGTAAGAACCACTAAGAACATCTTGCAAAGCTTATAATGCTATTCAAGTGGAGCACTTGCAGTTCACCAAGATACTCAAAAAGAATGCCCCTAAAGTAGTAAAGCGGCGCCGCGTATGTGCTGGACAGAAACAAAGCAGATGATTGCCACCTAACCCCATTAAAAAATCAAAAAAAAAAGACAAATTAAATGTCGCACAATGTTTTCAGTCGACAAATTTTGAGCATTGATAACAAAAGTTTGATTTATTGTCCATGTCAATGGTCGTTCAAGACTTTTCCTGTGAATGAAACTTGAGCATGAAACTTGAGCATTGAAAGTTAGCCCAGCCTTGACTTCTTGTGGAAAAACACACGTTTAGTCATCGTTTCTAATTTGACAGGCACGAGTTCTAAGCCTGGCACTTGCAGTCCAAACAAATATTATATGGACTAATTTTATATGAACTGATTTTAAAAAAAAAATTCGTATATTTCATAAGATTACTGATGATGAGTACTTGATAATACTCGAAACAGCGTTTTATGAACAGGCAAATTTAAATTAACAAAATTTTTGTTCTTGTCTTTTCTTTTCTATTCGACCCCTTCTAACTTTAAAAAAAAATTGCTTCTTTGTAGCCATAAAAAACATGGCTTTCGAAAAAAATAATAAACTTTAGAAATATAATTTAGTTTTTAAAGTGTCTTATTATATAAAAAAATTCAAACTCAATCAATTGGAATCATTTAACTATAATTTATTTATAAATGGATCATCATAAATTATTATTTTCAAGATGCAATGCGCTATCTAAACAGTACTTGCAATTGTTTTTGTAGACAAATATTATTAAACGAAGAATTCAATCACATACGTACACCTGAACGAAATATATTATAAAAAACATGAAGTAAATGAAGTAAGTGAGAATTATAATATCAGTTTGGATTATTTAGTGGAATTATATTTATATATATGAAAATTAGTAAGAATTTTCAATTATTTTCATAGTATGAAATTCAAATAACTCTTTCTAATGAATACGCAAACTTTTAATCAAAATAGTGGCATTATAAGGTCTAAAAAGTTTAAGAAGGTTATGTGTGTGTTTATTCAGAGCAATATTGCACTTTGACAAAAGTTTCAGCAAAACATAAGGTAATAAATCATAAGTTCTTATTTTTTAGTTGCAAAGCGATATATATGTCTATTTTTTAGAAGTATGTCATTAAACATAAAACTGAGTTATATTCTATGTGGAACTGAACTAAATATATGTAAACTTGTAACGTGTATAAGAATCAGCCAAATTTCAATAAATTAACTAAAATTTTTGTTGTTGTCTTTTTATTTCTGTACGAATGCGCTTAACTTCTGATGATTAATTTTTGTCACAAGATGAGTCACTTTCGGCAAAAAAATTAATATTAGTAATCGTATTCTTTTATATTAATATAAATGAATATAATAGTACTAATATAATAATTAGTACTATTAGCAGAGTATTT